ACGAGCAAAGCAATTGTTAAGCAGGCCGAAAAAATCAAGTAGAATTTTCGTGGCATCCTATCCACAACCAACGCAAACACGACCAGCACAAAGACCTGAAAGGAAGTGGGAGGAAAACTTTTCAGGCTGAATCCACAACAGATTTGGCAAAAAATTAAAAATTATAATAAATTTCGACATTACATGCAAGGGTTCAATTAAAGTCTTTTTTATTGCTTTATTCTCAAAGATATGAACGAAATTTGTTAATGAAAATAAGTGAGGAATAAATACCTGTCCTACGGCAAAAACCACTCCAATCAAACTGCCATTGATTGGAATTTTAAGTCGTTGAAAGATCAGTGCAAGATAAGTCACCGTGTCGATTCCACCACTCAAACCGTGAGTCGAAAGCAATATTACGCTGGCAAATAATGGTACCAGATTTCTAGCATTTTTCCAGTTTTTATGCTCTTTGGCCACATTTTGATTCAAGTGAAAGTCAAGATACTTGACCTGCGAAATAAAAACGGAGAATGAATGAGGATATATGCAAAAAACATTACTTTTTGTCACACTGGTGTACGTTAAACATTGCTGGTAGTGAAACATGAGGTGGAAGGTTCAATCGTTCACGATTGCGTGTCAAGATAATTTGGAGCTACGTATGATTGATGGATTTATAGACCATAGAAGCAGGATAAAACTATTTCAATTTTGGCGGCAAATAGTCGGGAAAATTAGAAATAAATTTACGATAAACCGAGTAATCGAAAGAAAAAGCGAAGAACTGCTGCTCAGCAGTTTCAAATGACTGTACCAAGATTTCGCCAAGCCAATCTGGGCAAAAAGTAAACTCTGAACAAAATGTGGGAAATGGTTTCGAAAGATCTCTAATGTAAATTTGATTTCTCTACTTTAGTCTCAAGAAACCGGAAGATTAATTTATTAATAAAATGGGTAGATTTTATCTCTTCTATATTACATACTTGGCGTGGGAAAAATTTCCCTGGATCACCCTACACATAAAAGCTTTGGTTTTGAGTACATTTGATAAAATAAAATTGTGGAGCTGGTATCCATCTGATCTTCGGTGTACAAAATTTTAATGCTGTATCTATTAACGAATAACTTTTATTTGAGACATTTTCAGGGTGTTTTTTGTCTTTTCAATTGTCTAAGTTTTACTCTAAAATTTTTCAAATGTTTTGCAACCTATATAAACACTTTTAGGTCGTGGAGCTCCACTTTTAGATTCTTGCTCGATATCCGGGGGCAGCCTGCACATAACTTGCGAACATTTTTCATTATTTGAAGAATAAAGAATTAAGTCAGACACGAACTGCATACCTCACTTTCATGGTCGTATTTCGGACCTTTAATCTTCGACAAGGACCGCCTGGCTTTGCCGTGCTGGCCAGTGTACACGAGCCAAGTCGGAGACTCGGGACACAAAAATATGACAACCCAGAACGGGGCGACCAGAGTGGCAGACGCGTATCCCATCCAATGATAGTCCAAGAGAGTGCCAAATATGAAAATGATGACCACTCCGGACAGCAACATGATTTGTGTCAATATCCCGAGCGAGCCGCGTATTGAAGCAGCTGCAACTTCCGCCAGGTACATGGGAATGATCGTGGTGGTTATTCCGCAGGCGATTCCGACTAAAGCCCTAAATAACTCGAAACATCAAATTCGAAAAAATATGAATTGCTGCTTTTTTCTAATTGATTACCCGTAATTACTTGAATCCAAGCCCATCGATTTTATAAGACGCGCACCAGGGGTTTCTCAATTAAAAAAAATAAATTATATTCCCAGTAATAAGACGTGCTCCTCATTTTAGTGACTCTAGGACTGAAGTCCTTAAAAATGCCAGCACCGAAATTTTGATTTAGACGCAATTTTATCCTGAAGTTGACTAAATTTCAATTATTTTTACGCGCTACAATAAGGGATTTTTCTATTGAAATTTTTCGAACATTTTGCTTCTAAATCAAATAAAATGCAAACAAACATTTAAAACATCACAAAATGTATACCCGTCTATGTCGCGAACCCCCTTTTATCCTCTAAATTTTAAGGAAAAATGTACGCGCGTGGTACTCGTGTAAATACAGTAATTCAATTTTTAATTTTTCAAATGATGAAATGAATCACAGAATTGTGCCTCGAGTGGGAAATAAATTTCATCTCTTACTCGCTAAACGCTCCACACCTCACTCCACATTATTTCTGTCGATCAATTATCTATAATCATGTATTTTTAAATTATAAATCAGCCTTGATTCATATGCTTTTATCTATTCTCCTTTCCAATTATCCTTTTTGATCTCTATCCAGTATTCCAGCTCTATACGAGGGTTGTCCCACTTGAACGCGGCCTGTGATCTTTTTTTGAACAGAAGGCGTCATTAAAAGAAAACGTCATGGCATAGTCATGATGCTCTAAGATTTGGGGATTTTTTTAGATCTTTGAAACCGTATGTCAATTTACTGCATATATGATGATACCTGAAAACTTTCAGGTATCATTAAGCCAGGTATCAAGTTAAGCCAGTTTTAAAAATTCGAGAATCCTAGAACATAATATCTGTCATGATTTTTTTCTAAAGATATCTGAGGTTGCGTCCAACTGGGACAATAACCCTTACATGTCATTTACAGTACTGTTTATTTTAATTTTCTACATCCGTCTGCGTCAATCTCTATCCCTATAATCAGTATCTGACAATATCTCTGTATATTTTTTAAAATGCGGCTAACACTTTTAGGCCTATGAAGCTGTCAAAAAAAATTATATCCGTTGAAATTAATTACCTTCCAATCAACAGCACGAATAAGTACTTGGCAACACCGAGACACAGAAATCCGCCAAGCAAAAGAGGACAAACGCAAAGTTCTAATGCTCTCTTTCGTCCCAGCTTATGAGACACAGGTCCACCAATGAAAGCTCCAAGAAATGCGCCGAGAAAGTGACACGATCCTTGTGAATAAAAGTGCTGTGCATTATTTGAAACATTTCAAAGTACTTCGTCAACTGTTTACCGAACCAGGATTCCTTTTGAGTTGACATTTGGAAGCCTCGATTAGCGTCTTCGCGTAAGGACAGAAGAGCTGGAGATGAATAAGCCAAGCCGATTCCGATGAAGGCCATTCCTGAAGAAATTGCTACAGCCACTAGAAACTGTTTCGAGGTAAGTTACATTGGAGATTCAGACGAACAGTATATTGTGTGTATTTTTCATAATATGATTGCTTCAAATGCATCTTTAATCATGAGGAACTGTATATCGGTTCGGAATTTAATTTCTGCTGATTTTTCAAGCAGAAGACCCAAGAGTACAACGCGTTCCAAAACAGCATTACCACGTGAACAGTTTCCAATGTCAATAAAAAAACTGAACTTGCATAAAATAATTCCAAAGTAAGTCAAGTCAATCCATGATGCAGTCCGAAATTAAATTCGAACATCAAGGGACCAGAAAAAAAATCCGAGCTAGGGAAACGAGCTTTTTTATAGACAGACAGAGGGACAAATTACAGGAAATTACAATTTATGCTATTCTTGGCCTCAAATTTCTTTGTCAAAATCGTTGGCACTTCATTAAATCGCTGGCCAACACATTCCTGTAGAAGTGCGGACGACTTAACACTCGCAATTTCAAAAAAGTGTCATTTCTATTTTTCATTTGTACAGATATTGACAAGCATGGCTGCATTAGTGGAAACAGAGTTTCATTTTCATCTACTGTAATTGCTTTCATTCTCACTGAAAGCAGTACTTTACATGTCGTGGACTCGCGCTGTTTTGGATCACGCCATTTCGGAAAGAGATTATTCAAGATATCGGAATTTTGCGTGAGTGCCACAGAATTGATTAAAATGATGAACCTGGACCATCCAGCTGATGGGTTCTTCGGTTGGCATGAAAATAGAGCCCGATTCCGCATTCCTTTCGTGCAACAGTTCGACCTCATCTTTCCCGATTGCTGGAGCCGCACCTTCTGTATTAATTTGCAGCCATTCGTCAGGATCCTGGTCATTAGAGTTTTCCTGCATAATTCCTCTCCAAAACCCCCTTTATTTCATCCTCCGGGTCGAACTGATAAGTTGAAGGTTAGCAAACATTTTCTCTTATAGGTTTTCGAGTTATAGTCAAAATTCAAAAGAGAGATGAGAAACGCGGAAGGAACTTTCGAAGGATTTGCCTTCAAAGAATTCTCAGATGGAACTTGCCGGGGAATTTCATGCTTTCCGATTTTTACCGTTTGCGGGTAAATTATTGAATGAATAATAATGGAAACGTTTTATTCATTCATCTTCGAAACACAGCACAGTACTTCGTAATCGTCCAGTGTGAAGATTTCGGAATATTCCAAAAGGTATATTCTCTTGGAAATTTTCATTCGGTCGCCTTCAACTAGTGATGAAGCAAATATTCAAGAAAGAAAATCATGGAGGAACAAATTCTGCATCGCGTTTATTTCGGATCTTTTTTCCCAGTCACAGAAATTTTACAACGAAGCAGCTAGTCGCAAAAAAAATACATCATAGCCATCGGATGTGACGATTATTTCATCATAAATACTTCTGTTCGTCTCAACGAATTCATGCACAAAAAAAAAATTTGCAGCATCAGTCAAGTTCCTCTGGTCCTGGAACGAAAGGACTCACGATGCTTCATTTAACACAACACGGAGTTTCCATCAGACCTTTTCGCACATCTCGTCGTTCCCTTCAAAGACTTTTTAAAATGCAATTCCCTGTATTCCGAACAAAATATTCTTGCGAACCGTAACATTTTCAAAAGCACACAAGATGCAAGCAAATACACAACTTTTTTTTTAAATCCCATAACAACCTGTTGATCATATTTGATATTCAAAGCTATACTCGCGTCACGAGAATTGATTCAGAACTCAATCACCCTTGGACGATTCGAACTTATGGCAAGTGAGAAATTTTTTGTAGCATCTATGACAAGCAGAAACATGGAAAATTGTGAAACTTGACAACAGCGGAAGCTATTTTTCAAGAACACCTGTTGAAAAGATTCATCATCGGCTTCTTTCGTGATTTCAAACAGACGCTGAATGGACAGAATTTTAGCATTCTTTTTCCCAAAAACATTTCTTCTCTTGAAAACTTAGCAATCGGGTATATCTAAAGGAAAGGAGTTCAGGCAGTGCATCAAAACAAGTCATGCACTCCAAAAAAATCGATAAAATCAAGAATCATATATGGTTCCACTGGCCAATAACACAAGGAAAAATAATAAAATATCCAGATGCAGAAGTGCAATTTCTTCAGCAGATTTTAAATTTTGAAGGTAATCAAGCTGAAGGAGATTTTTAAGGAGATCGCAAAGGAATAAGACTTTTTCAACATCGCATATACGTTAGAATAAAGCTTGAGCTAAGTCACATCCGAACTTCGATTTTCAGGTGAAGTTGACGCATTTCGTAAAGAAAACAGAAATTCTGCAAGAATAACAGGCCTATATATACGCAGACAGAACACGTTACTTTTCTTGAAACCTTATTCTAAAGCGTAGAAGAAAAAAAACACACCAATCTATAGGGTCTGTAGAGGTATGATGAAAACAACGGAGAGAATTTTAGATGGACAAGATAAATTATTAAAATCTGCTGAAAACATACTCAAAGGTTAATTCGATTGCACATTTCGTATAATTTCGATTCCAGGCAACACTATAAGACTGCAGTGAGAGATGAAAATTTGATGTATCGATTACAAGACGCAATTTTCATGGGAGAGAAAATTTTTGTTCACCTCACCAGGACATTTGCTTCAAAATACAGCAAGATCATCAGCAAAACAAAAAATACAATCAATTGAAATTCTCAGCAAGCGAGGGAAGGGAAAAAAAAGGTTGATGAGCACATAGAAACATTCAATATTTCAACATCAACAAAAAAATCACAAGCAATACAATATGATCAAAAATTGAAATAAAGAAAGTCGGGTTGAGTCATTTCGTCCTCAGCAGATGAAGATTGGCATGCCAGGGTAACTTTTTAAATGGCTTGTCGCCGTCAGTGGATGAGCTGGAAGCAGCAGCGACACCGACGCTCGTCCTCGTCGACGGCAAAGCAGAGACAGCGACAGACCTGGGCCTCGACGATGCCGATTTTGCTGACGACGACGCCGACGACACTCCGTCGACGACACAACAGCTATGTACATTCTCCAACAAGAACCAACCGTCGTCGACGAGCCCGGCACCGTCGCCGCGTCGTCTCGTCCTCGTTGATGTCGACAATTCCGCGTCCGACGATGTCGACGCGACGCTTTCGACGAGTCGTCGCCGACTCACCGGTCTTCTCCACAACTGGATCCTTCCGTTCCAGTCGGCAGAATCCAGGTCTTCGTCGACAAACAACGGATTCGCCACGATTCCCACTGACGACGACGATGTCGAAGTCGACGTCGACAAGGAATCGTCATCAGCATTCACAGTCTCTGTCGCGTCACTTCCGCGCTGTCGAAGTCTTTGCCCGCAAACACAGACGTGTTGCCGCGTCGATGACGCGCGGCTCACCACACTAAAAGTCCCGGCATCGTCACTAAGTCTCTCATCATCATCATCACCGACACCTTGGTCGCTTTCCACTGTCGTCATCATCACGGACGCCATCATCACCCTCATCATCATCACCATCATCATCGTCAGCTCGCGGGCTGCTGGAGCCGGACACGGTTCTCAGTCCGTCTTGGTCTTGTACGTGTTCTTCCAGATCTCGATCAAAGTGACGGTGGAGTAGAACCGGTAGAAGACGACGAGGGGGACGCTGACCCGAGACAAGACGCCCCAGGTCAGGTGGCCGAAGAAACGGGCCTGCAGGCCCTGGGTCACGGCATCGTGGGCCATGAATGTGTCCATGAGCCAGAGGGTCGCATTGGCGAACACTAGGAACGTGATCACCTGGCGACCGGGTTTCGTCAGCATTTGGTGACGAGTGGAACAGAAGCGTCGGGCTGCGTCTGTTATCACTAGGCTTTGCAGCGACACCTAGATTAGAAAAAATAAGAATAAAATGCCTTGAAAATTGCTCAAGCGTTCTTGAAAACGCTGTTCATGCAACATATATCTCGTGTACGGCGAGTCAGATCATATAAAAAGAAATATGGATTTTCAGACAGACTTCTATTTGGATATCGTATGCAGATCACCGTTAAGGTCCTTGCAGTTCGGCAGACATATTATAAATATAATACATATACAGGTGGACTCTTTTCACAACGAAATTCAATTGAGGGATCAGACAAAAATCGTTGTAGTGAGAATAATCTCTTTGTGGAGAACCCCTATACCATGGGAAGAGAACCCTATGAGATTAAAAAAACATTCGTTCCACGAAAAAAAAAATCGTTGTAGAGAGAGTCCACTGGTTTTTCAAGTGCGTGCTTTTGGACAGTGATTGCTGGCTTCAATTCCGATACTTCATGGTAATTATTCATTCATTTCAATTCTATAACTTTTAAAAATGCAATTCACAGTATTCGGAACAAAATATTCTGGCGAACCAAAACATTTTCAAAGATGCACGGAAATGCTGAATATTATTTTGAAAATCCCATAACGACCTGTCGATAAAATCTTATATTCGAAGCTATATAAATCGCGTCCCGAGAATTGATTCTGAACTCAATTATCCATTTCACGATTCGAGCTTATGGCAGAGAGAAATATTTTAAAGCTTCCATAACGAAAAGAAAGAAAAAAACGTGAACAACTCAAAAACTTTTCAGACAAGGAAATCTATCCGAAAATGTTCTGGGATATCCAAAGTTTTCGCATCTTGAAAAACGTGCTGTGAAAAGTAGATACTGTACATAAAAATGTCTGAGGTGAATTCAATTTTTTGAAAGGAATCGATCAAAATAATGCCTTCAGAAACAGCAGAAGCAAAAAATATATACGGTACAGTATATTGAATTCCCCGAGTGGAGGCTTTTTTTCGGATCCGAGCCTGTTCTAAAAATATAGAAGTGAAAATTCCAAGGGCTATCATGAACTGAGTCACCTGGAGAATTTGAGCTCCCTGCAGCCCGACGAGCAAGGAATGCGACAAGTCGTCGATGTTGCTCAGCCCGACGATGACACCGAAAATGGCAAAAACGTAGACACCGATGACGACTGTCGACGCGAGAAGGCGGTCCAAGTCCATGGGTTTCTTGCCGGACAAGGCGAGTCTCGGCAGCTGGAAGAGACCCAAAAAGGCCGCCACGGCGCCCAGTGCCACGATCGTCACCTGAGTCACGCCGTACATCATGTACAACTGCTCTTTGTCGTCCACATGCTCCTTCATCACGTAGAAGATGATGAGCACCACGATCCCACCGACCAGGCACAGCAGTCCGAGGAACAAGCCCTTGCTCGAGCTCTGGCAATCGACCTGAAAAATCGAAATATGAATTTGTATNGAATTTGTATCATTTTTTTTCTTTTTCCATTCGCTGATGCCGGAACTTGAGCGCGGTCGCCCAACTGAGCGCCGCTCAAATGTCCTTCAGAGCCGCGTCAATCGAGCGTCGAACCCAGCGAAAAAAAAAGTTTAGTTTCAGATTACGAAGTACGGGTTCGCAGTTGACCAATAATCGCATGTTGAAAGTCATTTTTGTCAAGACAGTACTGCGCTGCGTTTTGATGATGATTATTATTATTACTATTATTACGTCTGGAGCCATTCGTTAGGTTAATTGGGAGTTTCGAAATTTCTGGGTTTGTCTCAAAGCGTACTAAACGTCTCACACGGTTCAGCAAAAATCCTATTACATACGGGCTTATAACCGAGTGTTTCTGCATACAATCGTACCTTATAATACCTGATGATCAGATAACATTCAAAGTTTCATCCATTTATGCATAAAAATTGCAAAAATAAACATAATTTCGATAAGTATTATTATTAATAATACTTGGCATTATTGATAATAACTCGCCAGCCAACCTGAAAATGCATTAGTCTGACTAATGAATGTCGTCTAACCAGAAATATGCGGTGAATCAAGTCTTTCTTTTGATCAGTTGAATTAAAAAAAGGATTTTTCGCTATTTCGAAAACGATACATTTAATCACCGTACGAAATAATTTTGGGATACCAATAATATTATTATAAGTCCAAACGTTTCCAAGCGGGCAATTTCTGAAGAGCGAATACTGTATTCGAAAAATGCGACATTGCTTTGAAAATTTTCTCAACTGGACAAAAAAATCAACTGGAAAAAGAGGATATACTGAATCAAATCGTGCGTTCTTCAAGAGTCGAAGAATTTTGTCCAATTTTCAACAGAAAGTGGCCATCAGTTGGATAGAGT